AATCCAATGTTTTCCTTTCTTTTTACTTCACGATACATTTCTACCATTCAGTGTCTTAAGCTTCACACCAAGAGAGCTCAGGTCGAACAGCATTTATGAAAGTCGGCGTAGGAAATGTAAACCGTACAGAGTGAAAGCTATAAAAATGTAAATGATCAGCTGAAGGACTTTGGTTTTTTACTGGACCAGATCCAGAGTATCAAAATAGATTTCTTAATTAATTGGCCAACAGATAACGACAGGATGTTCTCACAGTTGTGTGACTTCAGCGTCTGTGATGATTGTTGTGACTGCGTGACATTAAAGTCTTTAATCACAGCCCTTTTTGTTGGATTTTCTTCCAATTCGCTCGTGAAAAGCTACAAAATCTTTGGTTTGTCAGTGGAAAAAAATTCCTGAGACTGACGAGGAAACCGTTCTCTGACCCTGATGAGACGAGGCCGCGGACTCGCCAGTGGCGGCTGGTTGGTGTTCAGGCACTTTGAAGATCAGTTTGGTGCAAACGTGACCGTCGGGTTGGTTTTGTCCAGCAGCAGCAGAAGAAGAAGAAGCGCTGCGGCCGTCTCCTGAGGAGCTACTGAGGGTCTCCGCTGAACGGCGAGGCAGCGTCGCCGGACTTGTGCTCCCAGTCGTACCGCTGATACTGTTCAAACTGGTCGGGCTGGGCGCCGCTGCTCAGGCTGCAGATGTCTCGGTCGATAATTTCATTCACTGCAACAAAGACAGAAGCAAACGACAGGATTATTTATAAAGTTTTGATTTAGCGGTTTATCAAAGGCCGGAGCCGATATTTAAAAAGCAGCTGATGGTCGATATTTAATGCCGATATCAAACAAAGGACAGTCAAGTATAATTCCATTATTGTAAAAATGAATGAAACCGAAGCAGACTTCAGTTTCAGACGTCATTCAGCTGCTTTATTCTCTTCAGTCTAACTATACGTTAGATTAGAGCTGCTGTCATGGAGGAGAAACGTGTCGCTGACTCACTGATGACGCCGTCTGCAGATGTCGGCAACGCAGATTATTTTAAAAATCCCAGATATCGGCTAAATGAATCATCCTTAATGATCGCTGCAGGACTTTCTCTGAATCCTGAGTGATGTTTGGAAACATGATGGAAACGTTCAGAACAAGTGTTTCAGTGTTACCCCAAATTCCACTTTTACGCTGGTTAGAATAACGAAGCTTGAAGGCTTCAGACCCGTCCACATTGTCCCCTGCTTCTTGCCCAGTGCATGCTGGGAAAGCCTCAAAAATACATCCAGCAGCTGATTCTTCACTTTTGCTTTCTAGATAGATTTTGTGTGTTTTAGTTCCCAGTTTCAACGTCGAGAGGTTTTGAATTTGCCTTTGAGGCTACGTGAGCAAACAGTAGGATCTGGCTCACTTTTATTTCTTTCTACAGTCATTTAATAAAAGCAGAAAGTCACTTGGTGAACTGTTTTCCAAACAGGGTTGGAGGCAGTATTAAGTAAAGCATAGTAATATTACTACAGTAGTAGTACCAGCGGTGTGGTCGACATCACTCTTGACATTTTACGGACTGAATGATAAATCGACTGGAGTGTTTCAATCCATGATGTATTCGGATGTTCACGTTGCATCATCACACGTCTCTGCTGGTGTAGAAGCTGCACGGTGATCAACACGGTGGAAACAAATACCTAGATAGTGTGTTGTTGGGCCACAGGAGGGAGCAGCTGGTGTCCTCCGAAACAACTTGTGATGACGCTCCGTGCCTGATGAATTTACCTCAACAGGTTTGTGTTCGGCTGTAAAAGAGAGAAACTGTCTTTAAGCCCCGCGACGTGTTCTGGCCGCTTCTTCTGATTACTGACTAACCGATCGATCACTAGGAAGTGACTCCGCATCATAAACCGGTACTTCAGCGTGTGACACATGGAGGAGAGAACCGTTGATTATTATTAGTAACGGCAGTGAAGCTGCTGAGTCTGCAGGCCAGCAAATGGCACCATCTCTGCTCCGTTCAGTCTAAACATAGCTCCGCTGTGAAACCTGAAGCTCCTCACCAGCTTGTTGCCCTTTGAACTTCATCAGCATGTCTGGATCCAGACCGGCAGCTTCAAAATATACATACAGATTCAATTCTAAGTCTTTCTCATCACATTCTCAAAGATCAAACTCCCCTTTCAAGGACCAAGCAAGACTTCCAGGACCTGGACCTCCAGGGCCTTCTTCCTGCACTCTCCCCCCAAGACTCCCTCTTTCTCTCTCGTTTCCACGTTCAAGACCAGAGACTTCAAGTCTCCTGGTTTGACTCTGTATTAGTTTCTGTTCTACGAGCTTTAGTTTTGAATGTACAGTGTTCTCCTCGTACAGCCTCCCTCAGTCTTTCTGGAAAGCTGAGACAATATACAGATAAAACAGGTATGTATACATTATACATGCATACAATAAAACGGGGGACAATTTAGGTTTTATAATCTGTCAAATATAACTCTTCTGAACGAAATCAAGTCATTTTGAGGCAGAAACGAGCTTTCAGTCAATAAGTAGCCTAGAGGCTGCAATCCCTTTCTGGCAAGTGGAATACGGCTTTTT